AGAGAAAAGGTAAAATGAAAATTTCAAAATTTCTTTCTCAGTAATTTGGTATCTGGGACATTTTTTTCTTTCCCACCATTCTCCTTGGCTGTAACAACTCGGTATCAAAGTGAGCCAGAGTCAAGGAGAAGCAAGAGCCTATTATATTCATTCATTCAACAAACATTTGTGCACATAGTGTATAAATCCTAGGCACTGTGGAAACTGCTGGAATGCAGGGATGAATAAGATATTAACTTTGCCTGACATCTGTTGAGAGGTATCCTCTTATTGTTTGCCTCAGGGCTCAGTGGTAAACAGACTAGCCGTGGAGTCTGTGTCTGCATCAGCACTGCTTTTGAAGGGAACCTACTGGATTCCTATTTTGTGGACCTTGTCATACAGAAACCACTCCGGATACATCACCACTCGGTCCCAGTCTTCATTCCTTTAGAAGATATAGCTGCAAAATACTTACAGACTGATATTCAGCACTTCCTGTTCAGTCTCTGCGAGTACCTAAATGCTTACTCTGGGAGGAAGTACCAGGCAGATCAACTTCAGGTATCTGTCTAGGATCTTGTATACCACATTTTAATGGACCCAAGATAGTCATAAAAAGGGGGTGGGGGGGAGGACATTTTCTTTTGTATTTTAAATGTTTCCTAACTCTGAGCCAGAAGTTTGACCATTACCTTTTTAATGCTTGTTTCTTATATATATAAGCTATTTTCTACCCTCTTACCCTTTTGAAACTCTGGATGATGTTTAAGCATGGGTACTGGTTAAGGGATTATGCACTCCCTAATGGTGGTCCTCAAGCTTTTATCACAAAGTAGTAGAATACAGTTGCTATACTTTTAGTTCAAGAAGGATTTATTATGGAGTACCTACTATGTGCTGAATGTCTTCCTGAACCTTAGGTATAGGTTCAGGAAGGCTGAGCAGAAAGAGGATAATGATTTCTGAAGTAACGTAGAGGAATGAATGCTATCCATNATAGGGGATAAGTGACACTTATAAGCTTAGCATTTCCCCATCCATGCATTTGGAGTGACTCTGAAGCTCCCAGTTGCCAGTTAAACAGAAATTGATATGTGAATGCAGACATGAAGCATCTTAGCCATACGTAGTAATGTCAGTGAAATTCTTGGCAGAAATAGTATCTCCTCTCCACCCGCAGCCCTGGCCATTTACTTAAGAAGTGCTTCCTATAGGCCTTTCTAGGCTGCAACTGACTCTTAGTTATTTTATAAATCTGTTTCATTAGTCCTTTTTTCAGGAGTTTTTCTGTCCGTCATTTTATTTCTCTAAAATTTAATTAATGGTCCCTCTTTTTAGTAGACATATTTGAAGTATCAGAACCACTGCTTTTGGAGCTGTAATCATCATGTACTTTGTTTTGTTCTTGACCACTGTTAGAGTGACTTTGCAGCCTTTCTGACTGGGCCCTTGCAGAGAAACGCACTGTGCAACTTGCTGTCATTTAGTTACAAAGTGGATCCGAAGGGTCAGTCTTTCCCGTTTTGTGCTAGATTGCTGTATAAGGACCTCACAGTCACTCTTCCAACTGACGTCACCATTACATACCAAGGTAAGAGGATGGAAGCCTCACTGAAGAACTTACAATGTATTCTGGTTTATTAAAGTTGAATGAAACAGAGGTAAAATAGGCAGCATACATCAAGTGGACCTCTTAAGATACTTTCTTCTATTTATGGGTGACAAATTTACTCAGACATAAGACACAAAGAATATTTTCTTTTTTTTTTTT